GCCGGGAGCGCGCGCACGAGCCAGGGCGCACGGGGGCGCGGGCGGGGCCCCGAGACCACACAAGCCCATCGCCCAGCGCAGCGCTCAGACCCCGCGTGGGTTAAAAACAGGGGCAGGAGTGGGCGCTGGCGCGCTTGCAGTTCCCTCTGCTACCGCGGGCCGCGCCAGCGCTGCGGCNGGTCCGTCCTGGGCGCAAGGAACCCCTGCCCATCGGGGTCGGCGGGGTGCAGAGGCAGGGAACCCGCCCCGCTACCGGGAGGGACTGCGCCTCGATACAAAGTACCGAGGGAGGGGCTCAGCCAGCCTCCCCAACACCCTAAACCTGTCCATGCGCTTCCCTGCGCCGGGTCAAATTCCAGGCGATTTTCTGGTAAAGGAGACCTCTTCCCGGGTCTCGTGTGCAGCCACCGGCCCCTTCCCGGCCCAGGCACGCCCCTCCCGGTTCCTTGGTATTGCAGCCCTACGCGCGGTCGTGGGGTGCCCCTGTCTGCAGCGTCTTGGTCACCCAGAGGCGGCCGCAGCTGAGTCTGGCTGTTGGAAGCCGAGCTCAGCTGCCCCCTCTCCTTCCCACCCAGCCCCAAAACTGTGCCTCTGGGATTCTCTCTCCCAGGCCTCCACCCAACTGCGACCCGACGGGAGTTAAAGGATTCCTTAAGCTCCTCCTCTTTTAATAAACCCAGAGAGATTCGCGGAGGAAGGGAGAGCAGAGGCTTGGCGATGCTTTCTCACTTGGCCCCTCCACCCAAGCCCCATGTGTAGGGTTATTTGGGGTCCAGCCTTGAACTTGAGCTGAGCCAGAGAGGGGCCCTGGCAAGGCTCCAACCTGGAGGCCCATGCTAGAGGCTGCTTTTCCTTAGAATTCCGGGGAGCTCGGTAGGTGTGTTTCCGTGTGATTCATAAGAAAAATCACATCTAACTTCTAAACTCCAGATACTCAATAGACAAAAGCAGAAGCGGTTTGCTGAGCAGTGTCAGCTGGGGGTGATGCAATTGGTCCCTGAGGACTGAGCGGAGCACTCAAGACCCTCACCTTAGCCAGGACCTTGGCATCACCGGTGATTGATTTCCTTCGGGTCAGTTTCCTTACGGAGAGATGAGTTTGGGTGAAGTTAGGGGGACAGAGAGACCAGCAGAGGAGAACTGCCCTGTGCTCCCAGCCGCTCTCCTGGCTCTGTCTGGTGCAACTGTACAGTTTACCTGTTAACCCTGTTTTCCTGGTGAAAATACAATCAAAAGGGTCCAGGGCTTTACCCTAGGGACCCGCTCACCTTGTCCAGAGAGAGAGCTGGAAACAGAACCCAGGGGCCTGATTTCCAAAACCCAAGCTCTTTCCTCGAGGGTGTAACTAACTACACGTCCTCCTCGACATAAAGGAATTATGATGTAAAATAAGTTGGTGGATTCGTGCTTCCTTCTAAAGGCATTTGGGGATTAAGACAGATCTCAGTCCACAGGGGAGATCAGGCTTATATCCTGGTAGACGTGAGAAGGGCTGGCAGGTGGGAGGGTGGGGACACAGCACCTGGGAGCCCTGGGGCCAGGCAGGGTGGGAAGGGACTTCCAGGGGCCCTGGAGGGGATCAGAGTCTGGGTGAAGTTTCACTCGTATGGTGGCAACTCCTAGGGCTGCTGCTAGAGGGTGAGAGGACATTTGGAAAAAACTAGGAACACCTGCCGGTCATAGTAGGCCTGAGAAGGGGAGGGAAACCACTGAGTGAGTGACGGATTTAGAGAGGACTTTTCCCCTAAGAAGCAAACACCGGTGATCCCGTAGGGGATGGGACAGGGAAGGAGCTTCTATGAGCACCTCCCCCTCTTCAAGTGCTTTAGACCAATGCAGGTGTGTCTCGGGCAGAGCGAGGCTGATCCTGGGCCTGGTGCTCACATTTGTCACAGTCGGTGCCGATTCCAGTCTCAGGATCTGGGCACCGCAGCCTGGGCCCTACCTCCTGCGGTCCCTACAGGATGGAGGAGAAAACCTGGGGGAACCCCCCCTCCCCCCCGCCAGGTCCTTGAAGCGACTTCCGACAGTTTTCCAGACCAGAAACCCAGGGGAAAGCAGAAGAACATGTCCCCACCTAGGAGCACGCAGGCCACCGTCTCTTAGTTGCAAAAGTTGTCCATCCGTAGATTGGGGGTCGCCCATACCTGCCCCCAACCCTAACACTTCCCCAAGCCCAGGGGAGGGTGCTACCCTGGTCCCGCCTTTACACACACACACTTTCTCTGCTGTCCGAGGAGGACTCCAATTGCTCGACGCCAAAGCTCCACACTTAACTCTTTGATCTTGAGAACCAGCCACCCCTCTGGGGGAGCTGCAGGGTCCAGCCCAGCGCGGCCAGGGCACAGGAGTTCCGGAGCATTCCCTCCAGAAACTTCCAGCTTGGCGGGACTCAGCCTAGATTAAGCAGTCCAGGTTGAGGAGGGCTTGGGGACATGGGGAGTGGTACTCTCAACTGCCCCACTGGCTTCCTAAGTGCTGGGTGCCCTGCTAGCACCCAGGTCGTCCTCGAGAGCGCCGTTCATCTTCCCAAAGATGACAGGAGTGGTTCCAGTTCAGAGCTGGAGCTGAGGTTCATCTCCATTTCAATCAGAGAGAGGAAGAAGTGGATTGGATTGGACCACCTACCCAACACTGTCCCCAGCAGCACCCATCTCCCTGTCTACCCAAAAGGGCACGGGCTCTCCCAAGGCAGGTCACGCCTGGGCCCCTGGGTGGGGACTGTGTGCCCCAGAGAAAATAGAGTCTAGAAGCTCTGCGGTGAAACCTTTCCTGAGACAGCTGTAGATTGCCACAGTCCCGGCCAAACGCCCAGCCAACTCCGTGGGGAGGGAGTGGAGGAGCCTGGAGGCATCCAAGTGCCTTGTGCCCTAGGAAAGACCGGGCTATCGCAAGTGAAGGCACCACCACAGCCACCGCGGTGCCCCCACGTGGCACTGTGATGTGTCCTAAGTGGTTATTTACGCCAAAGGGATTTTTTTTTAAAGGCACTTCTCACCTACCCAAGTTTATTTCTTCAAAGCCTCGGCCAACAGGATGCTCCTTGTAATTTATAGGTTCGAGTAGAAATCTAATCCCTCTTTATTTAAAATCAAGTGCTGGGGATTCAGGGTAGGGAGCCTGGAGGGGGGCTGCCCTGGCGGGGCCCACGGCCGGCCGGACTCCGAGTTCTTGCTGAACTTCACTTTCAGAGAAAGGCCAGGAGCTTCTTCTGGGTTTTTCGAGCAGGAGGGGTGGGTAAAGGTGAGCCCGAGGCCAGGGGGCTGACGAGTGGCCTCTTCTGGGGTTTCTTCCAGAGGTTTGGGGGGGGGGGATCTAGCTTTCTTCCGGGGCTGAAAAGTAGACTCGTGCTATGAGAATGGTAACTATTCTGGTTTCTTAAAAACACCAAAAAAAACAGGACTGGAGAAGGCTTCAGACACGTT